AGATAACATATCAGTAATATAGATTAATTCCAATATGTTATAATATGGATCTCATCCCAACTAATTTTGTATTCTTCGATCTGAACTAATTTGACAGATCACTAAATTTGTATAATTGAAGAATAAATTTGTAAAATCAATTCGGATCTCATCCGAAAAACAAGAAGCTAAAACTTCCAAAAAAAAATAGATCTAGATCTAATTCAATCTAATATTGATTTCAAATTGGGAAATTAATATATAACCCAATTCGAAATCACCATATTCTTGTTTGTATTTATAGCTTCGTATCTAAATATAACACAATCTGTGATACGAAGTAGATTACTACTCGGAATCAAAGACAGATTTTAAATATCAAATTCCAAATTTCAAGTCAAAATCCTAGTTATACTCAAAAGTTATTCCGAATATGAAACATACATTATAAGTATCAAGTTGGATCTAATTCAAACTCTTGAATTTTCATGTCCATTCAGATCTCTTCCGAATAATTAGGCTGTAGGATCCCATCCAATTCCTAATCTATTCAGATCTGATTCGTAAAAAATATTATCACAAAACATTCCAAATATTATTGTGAATATATATTGGATCAAGTTCGAATCATTCGAATATCACATCCTTATAAAATTTCAGAATACAACATACACATATAAATTCTGAAATTAATAAATCAATAATTTCGAAATTAATAAAAAATTAATTCCGAAAATAAATCCCAAAATAATCAAATTATAGATTATACATCAAATCGTGTAACCCGAGTATAATAAAGAACCATAGGCTCTGATACCACTGTTGGGTTTCGGGCAGAAAAACGCAGCGGAATAAACAAAATTTTTCTACCCAAAAGTAAATGAACGGATCTGAGGTTCTTATTATAAACGAAATTACAAGAATTTAAGGGGGACTTACATAGCAATCTTAATCAAGGATGTCAGACAGTCCGAGAAAACGATCCCGAGTTCTACCGGTATCCACACGCACGTGACTGGATCGGCCGCAGGGAACGTGCTAGCGTTCTCTTCTTTCTTCCTCTCTACTCTAGGTTTTAAGAAGTGAATTTTAACTCTTAAAATTCGTGGGTCTCCTTAGCCCTATTTATAAGAGGTGGAAAGAAGGGGTTTTATGGCTAATAAAACCCTTAAAGAGGCCCTAGCCCAATACCATTCGAAAACCTCTTTCGAATTGGGCTAATCAAGCTATTTTAATGTTATTAACAAACATTAATGATCCAAATCACTTAGGTGTGTGACCCTGTAGGTTTATATATTATTGGCAGTGGGCTAGAAATTAATTCAAGCCTCACAAATCATAAGCGGTCTCTAGCAAGACATTATGACTATCCAAAATATATAAATGTCAATTAAATCTGACATAACCTTTTAATGATTAATTTGTGCTAACAATTCTCTTTTGTCAAACGATATCTTAATTGAGACAAGGTTAGGTCGTGTCATCCTTGTTATTCTCAATTAATATTTCTTGATTACCAAGTAAGATTAATCTTGATCAAATGACACCTCATTTGAGCATGGCCATGCTAATTAATCTTACTTGTCAAGGGGCCCAATAGATATCTTTCTCTCGATGTACAAGAGTGACAAAAACTATCTTGATAATTCACATACTACTACATGGTTCATAATATGTATAATCACCACCTTTATAATTATCCAGTTAAAGATAACATTTAATGGTGTTAATACATATTAATTCTCATGCTAGTAACCATGATTATCTCAAGTATAAGAATATAGCACCTCATCATTATTGAGGACAACACTGATGACATATAACCTAGCAGTGTCCCCAAGTTGGGTCTGTCCAATGAACTTGTTCCCTAACAAGCATCTATGTTATTAACTTGATATCTCTATACCCATGACTAGTGGAATATAGCCATCAGTTAATCCACATACTGGTCTATTAATTATTAATGTCCCAAATTAATAATATTAGACCAGGGACAATTAGAATATTATGTTTATTTTAAAGTGTAGCATTCCACAATTAGGTCACATACTTAATTAGCTACTAAACAGAATATTCAGGGACTAAATATTAATAAAGAAAACTCACAATAATAATTAACATAAAATGAGTTTGCAACTTTATTAATTAATGAGCATTAAATATTTATTGATAAATCATAAACTATGATTGTCCTAGGGCATATTTCCAACAGGTGAAATCTTCATTGGGTGTTAATTGTTGTCTGTGCATGACATTGTGTCTATGAAATAGTCTAATTACTTTGTTCATGTTTATAAGTTGTCTGTGTGGTGGTGCAAAGTTGATTTGGTGTTGATTAGTGTCTGTGCATGATATAGGTGTCTATGTGGTGTTGTGAAGTTCATTTGAAGTGTTATTTATTGTCTGTGAATCAAATTGTGTCTGTATTATATAGTCTAGTTCCTTTGTAAACGTTTAGAAGTTGTCTGTGTGTTTTATTGTGTATGAATCAAATTAGGAGTGTTATTTATTGTGTTGGGGTAATCTTTTGGTCTATGAAGGTCTGTTTTTGTCTGTCTGGCATAAGTTAATTTCTGTTTGTCCAACTGCCAGGGCCCTGAAGCTACGCATTCCAAGTCATGATTATTTCCCCGCGCAGTATTCCGTCTGTTCAGCCTTCAGAATTGCAGCGAAGTGGGTAAAAGACAGGTTATCTCCAACACAAAAGGATAGGTTTCGCGAATTACCTTGGGGCCATCTCATTGACATCCCACAAACAGACAACTCTGGCCAAATCTTGCACATGCTGGCCTTACACCTAGTGCAGGACCAACCGGATAATGAGCTGTGGTTTGGCATTGGGGGTACACTGTATAAGTTTACTTATGCAGATTTTAGCTACATAAGTGGATTACCAATACATGACGAACCAGAAGCTGCTGAAGCAGACCTTGCCGCACCAGAGGATGAAGATTGTGGAGATGATTCTGGACAGCAATCTGGCCAAGAAGATGAACCAGTAGGGGCCCTTGCGGAGAAGTATTTCGGTGGCAAAGATAACATAACCCACGCCAATATGAAGAATATCTTTACAAAACTGAAGCCATCCAAACGCGGTAATGATGCTGTGAAGTTGGCCTCGTTGTTCTATATTGAGTGCGTTTTGCTTGCCAAGGACAACACTACGAGGATCAATGCATCATCAGTCAGATTGGCCAACGATTTAGAGGCATTCGGGAAGTGTCCGTGGTCACTTCAATCTTACAAGATATTGGTGAAACACATGAAGGATCTGATGCAAGACCAACCTGATAAGTTCCAGGAGCGGAAGAAGAAGAATCCTAAGTATAAGAATGCAAAGTTATCTGTTTACGGGTTTCCACTAGTTTTGCAGGTATATATGTCAACTTCCCAATTGTACTTACTGTTTACGTATATATCACTATTTCAAACTGTTTGAATTGGAACTATTTTAATTCACTATCATTTAAAGTGATTATAATTTTCCTATTCGCTTTTGAAAACTATGTTTATAATTTTGTAGTAATAATATCATATGGATCTTAATTTCTAATATGTTATTTGAAAACTGTGTATATAATTTTCCTATACCCTTTTCATATAAACTTAACTAATTTTATATACAGTTTTCATATAACTTTTTACACTAATTTTCCTATACGTGTTTATAATTTTGTTACAGTTTTCATATACCGTTTTACATTAATTTTATACACGTTTTCATTTATGTGAAGCACAAATGTATTTCCTGTTTATTCTTATTTGTATAGGTGTGGGCGTACGAAGAAATTCCTGAAGTTGGTACGCACTTTGCAAACAAAGTGGGTAATCATGACGTGCCTTTGCTTAATTGGACGGCTGTACCGAAATTTCATTACTCCAAGCTTAGAAGATTGGTCTTTCCAGAGGTATGTTGCATTGATTAAGTTAATTTAAAATACCCTAAATTTTACTAATTTTTATTAAGCCTAGGAGGAGGAAAAGGTTTCTGATTCAGAGGAGGGAGAGGAAGAAGATGAAACAAACGAGGAAGACGTTCAAGTTTCTGGAAAACTGAAAATATTGGAGGAGATGCAGAACCTGCGGGTATGTGTTGAAAAGGTGGAAAAGAAGATTACTATCGTTGAAGATAGTATTTCAGAAATTAAGGTACTACTTCAGAAGCTGATTGGTAATCAGAATCCATCTGTTCAAGAAGAGGTATGATGTAACTTACTTTGTGTGTGTCATTTGCGGGCCCTTTTCATTAACTATGCGACTAACACTGTCAACTACATCTATTGTAGGTTGATAAGGTTGATAATGATGACGTGGTTGTTCAGGACGAGGCTGCGGTTGAGGCGGAGGGTGAGAACATAGTACAAACTAGTGACGGTGAAGATGCCGAGGTTATCCATGCTGATGCCGGTCAAGGTGAAGGTCAGGGTCCCGCTGCAGATGTTCCTTTGAAGAGCACGAGTGTACATGAAGAAGCAAAAGGTGCAGATCGTCATGGGGTGGCATACAGGCAGTTATCTCCGACCGCAGATTTTACCGCCCATGAAGATGGTGTTGTTAAGGAAGTTGGGGACGTTAGCAACCCCTTAAAGAATGAAGGTGGCACACGGGCAGATTTGATCATCTCAACTGTGGTGACTGAGGTATGGTTGTTGATGTGTCATTGTTGTTTTTGTGCACCATGAAAATTGATCTACTTATTTACTTGATAGGTGGATTGGGAAAATGAGCACAATAAGCATGGCAGCAACTTCCCGGATATTATGATGTGTTTAAACGAGGTAAACACATATTGGTGTTTATAATGCAACTTCCAAGATATATGTGTAATAAAGCAATGTTGGTGCAATGCATTTTATGTTATGGTTTGTATAGTAAGATTGTTTAAAATGCATTTTAATTCCATGGTGTGTAACAGGACTCTCAGCAGGTGGAGGATGAGCAGTTACCTTCGGTAACCGCGCCCGGTCCATTTGAGAATTTGGATTGGGATGGAGGCGATGTTGGTAGTACACCGCTTGATGTTGAGCCACTTGAAGATGTCAGCACGAAACATCGACATAAGAGGAAACGGTGTCGTGCAAACTACAAATGCTCACCATACCTTGACCCGATTATCCCAATTGAACCTCCTATGTTTCACCCAAGCGACGATGATATTGCATCTCTGAAGGCGTGGATTGAAGAACCTGACAATGTAGAACCGAAAATGGTTGTTCTGAATCTACCATCATTTGATGAAGTGGATAGGGAGTTTTTCCGTGAGCTTGTTCAACCAGATGAGACACTATGGTCCTATGTGAGTGCCTAAACTTTTTCAATTTTTACATGATTCAATAATTGTCTCACGCTGTTTTTTCTTAGCATATGGATGCTCTATCGTACCTGCTTGTAAAAGATTGTAAGACGGAGAAGCCGTATAAGCTAATAAACCCTTACTTTACGGTATGTCTTTATCACTATATCTTTACCAAACTTACATAAGTATTTCCAATTTTTGGGTCATTATAAATTTTCTTCGTGCAGCATCAACTGTTGAGTAAGGATGCTAACGATGAGAACGTCTGGACTCGCGATAAGTATCTACCAGCTGTGGACTGGAGAGGTTTGGAGAAGGTAACTGCTTAAACTCTTTTATGTAATTGTTTGTGTATTTTGGTTTGGACTCTTTTAATTGGGTTAACGTTTTCGTACCTCTGAATGTTCTTGGTTAAAAAGTGCTCAAGTATTTTGTTGTTGTTGTTGTTGTGTTAAGGTTTTTGTACCTTTGAATGTTGTTGGGATGCATTGGGTTTTAGCGGAAATTGACCTACATGCAAAATTGGTGCGTGTATATGACTCTATGAGAACGAGTAGGTCAAGGTTGCATGCGGCCGATCTGTGTGTCAGACTTCCGCTCCTCTTCCGAGTCATACAAGCCCACCCAGATCTGAGTAAGGTAGAGGTTTGGAAAGCTAATGCAGTTGCAGATGTTCCGCAACAGGAGGGAGGGTAATTGTAATCTGTTAATCTTGTATTTGTTTATGTGCAGTGTACAATTATGTCTGTGAGCACATAATAATTGTTTGTTATGTCTGTGTTGTAGAAGTATTTGCGGACTCATGGTTGTTGCTTATGCGGAAGCATTGATGTTGGGGCTACCGATGAGGCCATATTGCGAGTATGCGAACGTGGCCAGCAAGAGATGGCATTTCGCACTACGGCTTTGGAGTTTGAGGCAGACTGTTTCGTAGACATATGTGGATGTCTATTTTTTTGCTAATGTGTATACATAACTGTCATGGTTCCCATGTAAGAAACATTATTTTGCTGGTTTTGTGTTTTTGTAACCTTCTGGAATATAATGTATGATCATGTACATTGTTTTGGCGGTTGTGCTGTAATGAACGTTGTACAATGTCCTACAAGGTTATTCCCCAAGAGGGTTCATATGAAGCATGTAACCAAATTTCTAAGTTGGTTTTGGTGTTATTTTTAACACTTTGAAATGTTATGTATTATAATGTTCTTTGTTTGTAATAACATGTGTCTGTGACTATATAATATATTGTCTGCTAGTGGAAATTTGTTTGTCTGTGAGTATATTAAGTATTAACAAGCAAAATTTATAAAGTTGTTGAAGTAAAGCTTATAGTTCATAAAAAATAATGTTCATATCACTTTTTTTCATCCAAGATTAATTTTGTATACTTTAAAAATATCTTAAATACTGGATATAATCTCAACTACATGGTATAATAATGATAATTTTAACTATAAAATATCTTAAACAATGGATATAATCTCAACTATCACATGAATATGAGCGTTAATTAAATATTTTCTTGTTTACATGAATATGTGCGTTAATTAAATAATGGATATAATCTGAATTATCACATGAATATTTTCTGCCCCTCCAAATAATTGTGTCTATGAATAAATATACTTGTTTGTGGCAGAGCACCGATCTGACTGTGAGGACATAATAATGTCTGTGACTATAAACAGTTTCATTGATGATACAACAAAAAAACAGTACATCATAGTACATGTATTCACATCAAAGATAGATTTAAATCTAAACCAGTAGAATACATGATTGGCCCATTAGCTGCACCATGACTAGGCCCTTCACCATTACCATGTTGAGTTGTGGTTGTGGGTCGTGCATTATCCTTCTTCGGCCTTCCTTTCTTACCCTTTTCTAGTGGACCCTTTGCTCTGTTTTTCCTTGGAGCTCCCTTGCGCTTCGTACATTTTGGATCTCCAATAGGTGGAAGTGGGACCTCGGCATGAATATTTGTTTTTGGGTCTTCAAGTGGCGTCATGTTGCCAACAATACAAGAATGGCTAACTAGAGGAGTATATGTGGTCAACTGGGTTTCCAACCAAAGGAGGACTTCATTGTATTTCGCCTCATCATCCACAATCATGTTGGCAACAGACTCAAATGTCTTGCATAACTTGTCAAAGCGTTGTTGTTCAACCGTTGTAATCCATCCGTGGTAATTGATTTTGACTCGTTGGTACGCTCTTTTCATGTCTTTCCTCCATCTACTCATTAGGTACACCTCGGGCAAGTGGTGTATATCAAGCCGATTAAATACCACAAGCAAGTGTCTACATATCATTCCCCTAAACTCAAACAAATGACAACTACATATTCCAAAACAAGTAATTGGGTCAAAGTCAATATAGAAGTTCACATTCTTCTTAAATCCATTAATATCCATATGCTCCTGCACTGTGTATTTTCTACCGTCTTCACATAAAAGGATATCACAATAAAGCTTTCCTTCAAGTAATTCCCTTTGAAACTCCGCAAACTTAGAAAGGGTATAAATTTGTTGCACTTGTTTTTCCATTGGATATCTAGTCACACATGGAATCATTTTGGTAAATGAGTTAGTATCCGCTTTAAATTCTTTTTCCACCTTATCACGCAAAGCACATCCGTATTGTTCAACAAATTGTTTTAGAGTGGTTTTTGAATTGACAAACTTATCGAAAAAAGCGTTGATGCTCTCACTTCTTTGAGTTGTGGACATGCCGGCCCAAAGCGTTGGCACGTTCAATTGAACTACAGAGAAGGGAGGTAATTACAGTTGCCACTCTAACTTCCAGGCAGGTTAGTCTCATTCTTCGAGGCTATAAAGTTGATCACTTATCTGTTCATTTAATACATTCCAGGCACTAAAGCATCATATAATGGTTCTGAAGGATAAAATTGAGAATCTGAAAACTGAACTGGTATGTTTCTTCCCGTTTAGATGATAGTAGTAGTATTAATTGTAAATTTGGACTGTTACACAGGACAATCATTCCCTGCTCTAAATAATGTAAGTTCTATTGAAAAATGCAAAGGCTGAAACAAATACTGAGAAGGAGATTGATGAGGCGGCCTTGTACTCTCGGTTAGATGCTTTTGCTGACGATGAGGACTTGGAAGAGGTAAGAACCCTTTTTCATGTTCTTCTTACACAGTAAGAGCAAGAAGCTGTATACTTGTGACCTAATGGCATAACCAATGATGACTCAACCATTGAACCATTAAGTCGTGTTTACTTATCAATTTACCACTTAATTGGAAACACAACTTATTTATTCAGCCAAAAGGTGACTATCATTACATGAGTGTTTGCAAACACTTACAAAAAGTTCTTTTTAGCTTTTGGTTTAAAAAAGCTGAGATGAGTGTTATCAAGTGACAATTTTTGCTTAAATTAATGTGTTTTTTCTGGTTCAACAACCTTGGTCTTTGACATATTTTAACCTGATTGCCTATGCCTTTACATCATGTTGTCATGTTCTTTTTACGTAGGAAGAGACTGATGGGGTGGATCTAGAGGAATAACATGAGAAGCAGTCAAGATGGAAAGCGCAACTCCTGGTTTCAGGACACAGGTCTCATAAGCCACTCTGGTGTTTTCCCACTACCAGTTGTCTTAGAATCTGTTTTTTTGTCATTGTTCTGGAAACTGATTTTTATTTACTAGCCAATTTTTTTTACAAAGTATAAACAAGTGGTTTGGTAAAATTACCAAACGATCCCTGAGGTTCCTGAAATCATGAATACATCTACGAGTCCAGTATTCAAATAACACAGTATTATGATAATATTAGTAGGATTTGGGAGTTTAGTAATACGGACCTAATTACAATGATAGAAAATTCCCAATTGGTATACATTACTCAATCATTCAAATAACACTACATTCCCCTCAATCAGTAAGATGCAATAGAAATACAAAGCTAGTCTGAAAAACTTCATCCATGCTAATGTCATGACATCATATTTGTATAATGGTATGAAGTGGATGAATCTCCACTGCAGAAGCTTCTTTTCTGCTTCCCATCTTGATCCCAGGAGTTCTTATGCTCCTCACATTGTATGATTTTTATTTTTGTAACTACTGAGTTTTCAGAGACATTAACTACTGAGTTGAGACTGTAAAGAACCCACATATATTGAAACATATAGGAAGTGAATGAAGTATGGAGTATTTCGTAACTGTCATGCCCACTAAATACTACGGAGCATTCAATAGTAAAGTGTGGAGAAAACCAAGTGTCGTAAAAGGAAAATTGCAAGAAATTTTGAAATTGAGAGAATCTGTGAGAAGCACAAACCCTACATTCTACTGTTGGGATTCAAGAGGGCATTAAGGAAAATAAAGGAAGGAAAAAGGACGCATCCTGCGTGGATTTGTTTAAGTTTCAAACCAGATCACATATAAACATATTAAATTAGATTTAATTACTAATTAAATACACGTAAAACAAATTTTTAGTATGCTAGTTTAGACCAAATATAATTATTGAGTGTTTGGAACTGATTTTGCTCCTGTTTCTTTTTTTAAAGTAGAATCAGAATCAAAATCAGTTTTCAGAAGCTGGTCTCTCCCGGTAAATTATATCCTACAACCGGATGTACCATCCTCATGGTACAGCCGGGTATTTTTGTAATATAGGGTCTGCCGTCATTGCCTAGAGTAGAACTGTAGAAGAGCAGAATCGTTTCTTGCTCTGTTGAGCGAATCGCAGCCGGGGACTCCGAATAATTAATAGACTGAGGTGCTTCCTCTTTCCACTGCCGCGCTCCACTCACGTCCATCCATACTCCACTCACGTCCATTTTGTTTATTCTTCATTTGTTTATTCTTGTTTGTTTATTCTTCTTTTTTTTCGTATTACATATCAGCCACTGCTTTCTTTTTCTTTTGTTTTATTTATTCTTCTTTTTTTTGTTCTCCTTTCTTTGTTTTTTGTTTTTTAGTAACCTTCCACTTTAATGCTATACTCAATTATTATGAAAATGTATAATATAAAATATTATTAAATGTTTTAGTTTTATATTTTTGATTCATATATGCAAGAGTTGATTATAGATATATGAGCACTGATCATGAGACTCAATTGCACTGATCATGGAGTTGTGCAAAGAGCACATGAAAAACTAACTATAGCTAGAGATAATGATAGCTATTTAGTGTCTCACCACTTCTCAAAATATGAGAGCTATGTACTTCGTACAAAATAACAAAAACGAAGAACGGGCTTATTAGAAACCTAACAATATATAATGAGCATTAATGAGCATAATGTGCATTAGACCTATTATGAGGATTAAAACACTTTTGATGAGCATCGGGTTTATTAGAAACCTAACAATATATAATAAAATTATAAATACATTTATATAAATTAATTAATAGTACCATTCATAGATTAAATAAATACTTCGTTTGAATTAGTTTTAATATAGTAATAATGAGCAAAAACAAAGAATAGTTAATATTATAATTACTATTAATAAACAATTGTAGTAGGGAGTATGAAAACATGTAGGCTAAGTAAGAAAAAAGGACGGATATTTTCAAAGAGACAAGCAGCCGAGATGGATGGAGTGTTGCAGGCTATATTTGAAGTCTAGGGATCGAATCCCGCTGGCGTTTATTCTTTTTTCCTGAAGGAATCCAGTTCCCAAGTCCGGATTTGGTCCTAAAAACAAGTTTAGCCATTTTAAAAAATCGGATGTACGTACACCCGGGTGTACGATATAGGCACTCGTCTCTCCCAGCTTCTAAAAAAACTGATTCTAGGAGTAAATTAGAGCACTAGAAGTCTAGAAGTACTTCTACACTTTCACCCAACCACTCCAAACACCCCTGTATCAAATTTAAACAAATACGGAGTATAATTGAAACAGATTATAAAGTTTGAACTTTGAAGTGAAAACATACTAATAGGGCTAAAAGCCCACACTATTGCTAGATCGGAAATAGAAAAAAATGCTATTTATACAACTTTCATGGTGTGCATTTATTTCACATATTGCTAGATCGAAGTAGAAAAATGCTATTGGTACAATTTTTAAAAATACTTTATATTTTTAACATTTTAATTCTATATTCTACATCATCCTCTCTTCTATCTTTCTATCCATACCGTTTCCATCTTTCCCCCCATTTTCATCACCTTCACATCCACTTCATCATCTTTCATCTTCATCACTCCATCTCCATCACCTTCCACTTCCATTTACCTCATCATAGTCACCATCTCCTATCTTCACCATCTTCCACATTCATCACCTTCTAAGATCAGAAAAGGTGGATTTTGAGTCATCGGAAAAACGTTTATACTTGGACACTAAATTTTATAGTGTGTGTGTGCCCATAAACAATTGCTACGCACAAATAAAAATGTACACAAATGTCTTTGTACAGACAATTAGGGCATGTTTACTAACAGAGATAATTTCCCGTTTTCTGTTCTCCAATTTTCAATTTTTATTTTCCAGTTTTTCAATCTCCAATTTTATGTTTTCATTTCTAGTTTTCCACCAATTTCAAATATGAAAATATGTTCTTCCAATTTTTTCACCCGATTTTGTGACCGACCAAAAGACCGAAAGTACGATCTTGATCCAAAACCGAACCTAGTACAACCCAAGTAGGGTATCTGGTCCCAGATATAGGAAAGCCGAGACCGAAACCGTTTAGTCTCGATCGGTCCAAACGTCTAGTTTGACTAATTTTTTTCCTTTTGCATATTGGTTGGCAACTCAGCAGCTCTTTTGAAACTCTTCACTCTAAAATATGATCTAAAAAATGGGGACCGAATCACTGGGTCATCGACCAAACCGAACAAGATCGCCGGATTCTTGACGAGATCAACCCAGGACGGCCCGATTGTCGACAGGACCAGACAGAGACTGTCGGGTCATTGATCTGACTAGATCGGGACCATCGAACCGTTGATCGGACCTTGACTGCCTTGATGTCGATTGGACCAGACCGAGACTACCCCGCCATCGACCGGATCGGACCAGACTGGTACCACATGGTCGTTGATTGGACGGGGATCATCGGGTCATTGACCGGATTAGATAAGGACCGCCGAGTTGTTGACTGAACCAGATTGCCGGGTCATTGGCCGGACAGGGTTCGCAGGATCATTGACCAGACCGGACCGAAACTGACAACGGAGCAGGACCGGATTCACCACTAGGTGTAAGTATGCATATTCATTGCGGCGGCATTGCAGCATCTGCGTTTTTCAAATTTGGAAAACTAGTAAAGCTCAATTCTCCAATTCATTAAGAAAAATAGAGACATATCTCATTTTTTATTTGGAAAACGATTTGGTAATACATATTTCTATTTTCCTCTCCAGTTTTTCAACAATTTTTTTTCGGTAAACAAGTTTTATGTTTTTTTTTAAAACTGGAAAATATCTCTGTTAGTAAACAAACCCTTAATATTTGTGCACAAATATTGGTTTATGTGCAACTAAACTCTAACGTTTCTGCAAAACACAAAACATAAACCAATATCCTTATACAAACATTAGTTGTCTGTACAAAGACAATTTCTACATTTTTCATCTATGTTTAGATAACATTGTTAAGCACAGACAAATAATATACAAATTGTTTGTGTACATATAACTATTGTCTGTGCAACACATACATTAATTTTTGTGCAACTAGATGTATTTTGTTAATCACAGACAAAATATGTAGAAATTGTCATAGCACACACAACTAATGTTTGTGTATGTCCAAGACATTGATTTGCATGTTATTAGTAGAAACGTCAAGGTTTGGTTGCACATAAATTAGTTATCTGTATACAGATAATTTATACATTTTTCCTCTTTGCTTGACAATTTTGACTGGACACACAGACACTATAAGATCTAGTGTCTGTATATAGACATTTCTTTTCGACGGCTTTCCGTTGACTCAAATGTAGTTTTTCCGGTTGTAGAAGATGATAAGGGTATAACGACGATGGAGATGGATATGAAAGATGGTAAAGATGGGATGCGATTAATATGATGAGATAGACGAGAGTGGAAGATTGTGGAGGTGGAGATGGAATGAGGAAATTCCATAGAATTTGAATGTATATGGAAGATAATGAAGATAGTGATTGTGTGGTGAAAATGGAAGAAAGAAGAAGAGGGAGTGGGGGGAGAGATTTTTGTATGGAGAGAGAGAGGGAGGGGCAAAAGAAAGCGAATCTTTATATAAAATGTACACATATATTGTGTACACCTTTGTTCAAAAAATGTGCTAAAAAGTTCTAGAGCTTTGATGAAAAGTATGGCATAGTTCTAAAACTAAATTTGTTGACAATATACTCGTATAGTCGTCTACCCATCAATCTTCTCAAGTCTTAACCGAGGCGAATGCACTCAAGATGTTAAACCGGGAAGTCACTTTCACTCAGAGTTCTGCTAAAACTAAATTTTGTTGACAAGTACACGAATGAAGAAAGACAGAGAATTCAATAGATTGTTTAATTGAAAGGCCAGAGTCTGGGAGTTCGGTATTGCAAAATAGAGTTCAAAATCATTATTTCTAAATAAATCGAATTTGTTGCAAAATGGAGTTGAAAATCATTATTTTAAATAAATCGAATTTAACATCTTAACACTACTCTAGAAAAAAGGTTCATGATAACAGAATAAAGGAATGTTTCGCCACCACTGGTATTTCATAACAAATTTACTCAAATCCCTTTGTGGTATCAAACAAAAACAATACAAAAAGAAAATTAGCCTCAAGGCAAAAGCAACCCCAAATGGACATCTCTTACTCATTTTTTGTACAGAAAAGCTTCTACAGAAGAGCAAATCAAGTTAGCACACTCTTTCGAGTTTCAACATCTTCTTAACACACCTATATTCCTCTAGAGTTAGATGAACATATGTAAGATGAAATCGCAACAATAGACTAAGCACGTCTTTTACTCAACCTCCATGAATTTGGCTCATGATATCTGTCATAAAGAGGCTCAATGCGCTCCTGTCTCTTTCGTTTGCTCATCTTTGTGGGGTCAGCAACTTTGAAATATCTTGGTGCCAGCTCTACAAGCCACTTTGGGTCGATCACAGTGACCTCACGCATATATTCCTTGGTTGTCATGACAAGCTCGTGATAGATGACCCAATCTGGCTGCCGTTGGAATAGAGCACTGCTAGGGTGTATATACACTGGTTGGTTCTCAACCAGGGTTCTATAACCCTCTTGCGGATCCTTCCTAGAAGCGTGGAAGAAGAAACCTGCTGCTATCGCCTTCCTTATCTTTGTGAAATTCTTCCCAGCACTCACAACATCCAGTTTGTACCTAAATAATGAACATAATAGGATGAATTAGCAAAAAGGAATTACTATCTTAATAAAACAATGAGGTTCTGATCTAAAACATCAATTTAGACTAACAGTCCTTATAGTCCCTGACTGGTAGCCAAAAGCTTCTTAGAGCAAGTTACAAAAAGGCATAAAATTACTAAAGTTATGGGTAAACCGACTGCGGATGTTTACACTTGGACAGATACTTTCTTATCTGGTTTTGTTTGTTCAAATGAGGTCTGGTCAAAGACTGAAACTAGTTCAAGTGCAAACATACCGAATGATCTAAAAAGCAACTTAATATTTAACTTTTTAAAAAAACTATGTGGTATAGAAGCGCTTATTCATTTCAGCAATTTCAACAAAAGGGTATCTTGAATGCTTTTTTCCAACATCATCTGAATTTTAGCACGAATGTGCAAAGACAATAGTTAGGGTTTGGTGACATATTTGGCAGGAATGTGTCTACTTATCAACCGAATATATAGCTTTTGACTTGCTTATTTGGCTTATTAAAGACTTGTACTTTCACAAAATTTAACAGGCCATTTTAAGCAAACACAACCTTTACCAAACGGTCACCTACTTTCTTTTAGTTTCATTAATGATAAAATGTATATTGACAAGATAGAAGAAGGATTAGTACTTGTCCATGATTGAGAGAAGTTGTTTCCTGACATCTTGAGCACGCCTCAATGACCTTGATTGCACAAAGTTTTCGAAACACCAGGGTCCTGAAAAACTTTTAGCTTTCCATGCCTCATAAACAGCAAGCAATGTAAGATGATCACCCTCAGGTTGAAAAAACTTAGCCCTTTTCTGATCAGCCTGTGCTTGCTTCTCCCGAGGCCGGTAAAATATGTTGCCCGTCTGAATCATTGCAATGATAGTCAGAATCTCATCACTGCACCCCAAGTCCACACTGGCAAGAAGCATTTTGGACAGAGGAGGTTCCAGAGGGAATTCAGCCATTTTCCTACCCAGCTTTGTTAAAAGCCCCTCTTCATCAAGTGCTCCTAGAGTATAAAGCTGTTCCATGGCAGATATCAGTGCTTGAGGAGTGGGAGGATCCATGAAATCAAAGGACAATAGATCATTGATACCCATAGCTTTCATATTAAGCACTGTCATCCCGAGGTTAATACGCTGAATTTCAGGGATCGATGTGGGAGACATTTCATTGTGAAAGGCACTCTCAGTATAAAGACGATAGCACTTCCCTGGTCCGGTTCGGCCAGCACGACCAGCTCGTTGCTTTGCCGAGGCTTGTGATATAGGGGTTATGACCAACGAATCAAGACCCAGTTTGGGGTTATATACATTTTGCTTAGCAAAACCAGGATCAATGACATAAAAAATACCATCTATAGTCAAAGAAGCTTCAGCAATATTTGTAGCAACTACGACTTTTCTCTTACCTGGAGGGGCAGGGTCAAAGATCCTAGACTGCATTTCACTTGGGAGGGCACTGTAAACAGGCAGAATGATCAATTCTGGAACATTCTTACCCAGACCTTTCATCCTCTCATAAAGACACTGGCAAGCATAGTCGATCTCCTCCTGACCAGTCAAGAAAACAAGGACATCACCTTCGGGTTCTGTCAAGTGAATCTGTAAGACTGTTATCAAAGCAGCATCAAGATAGTCACTCTCAGGTTGCTTTGTGTAGAGTATCTCCACCGGAAAGGTTCTCCCCGGGATAGTAAAGATATTGCAGTTAAAGAAGTATCCGGAAAACTTCTCAGCATCTAAAGTTGCAGACGTGACAATCAACCGAAGGTCAGGTCTTCTCTTCACCAGTTGCTTCAACAGACCAAAGAGAACATCAGTATGGATGGTTCTCTCGTGAGCCTCATCAAGCATCACAACAGAATACTGTGAAAGATTCTCATCCACCAGAATTTCCCTCAACAACATACCATCTGTCATATACTTGATCACTGTTTCTGGCCCTGTACAGTCCTCGAAACGAATGGCATATCCAACTTCTTCCCCTAACCGACAACCAAACTCTTCTGCAACTCTTTTTGCCACTGACATTGCAGCCACTCTGCGCGGTTGGGTACATCCAATTTTTCCTCTGGTAGTGTAGCCAGCCTCAGCTAGATACTGTGTAACCTGTGTGGTTTTCCCCGAACCAGTTTCTCCAATGACAACCAAGACCTGGTTTTCGTGCACAGCTTTGACGAGCTCATTCTTCAGCTTGTAAATGGGTAAACTCTGCCTTTGGTCCTGGATGGAAAGCTTTGACCTCTGTCCAAAAGTGAGTGCTTTCCCGTATGCGTCTTTCTTCCACTCCGGCATGTCATAAGCTGATAAACCAACACCCCTAAGTTCTTGGGCCAGATGCCTCTCACCTGTTTCAGGCATCGGATCCTCCCACGGTCTGTTTAAATCTTTGGGAATGGAATCAAGCATCGTTCTCTGTTGTTGCTCCCTCACTTCCCTTCTCTCCTTTATTAATGCTGATTGGAGTGCAGCTGCACGGCTCAAGGAACCCTCAGGGTTTTTGAAAATCTTGACCGGCGACATGTCCACTGAGTAGCGGCTCTGGCCTTGCAAGAAAGGTGGTTCGTCTTCGTTCAATTCAATCTCGAGCTCCTCTTCAGCACCTTCTTCCTCGTACAACAGTCCATCCCCTTCTTCATCGAACATTGGGTGCTCCTTGAGGGCTAAGACTCCTGAAGCCATGAGTTGTTTCGCCTCCCAAATTTCTGGAGAACTCATTCGCTTCAATGGTCTTCTTGAAGGCACTGCTACATCGTCTTCCTCCATGATAGGAATCCCAGAAAGACCGATTCTACTGCTCCTAATCATCCCACCTTCCAGATTAGCACCACTAGATGGCTTTTCCCTCAAACCACCACCATCATCCGAACTCCTCTTCATCAATGGTACTAAGTCTTTTCCAGTTTTCTGATCAACGTCACTCATGGAAAGACTCAATTTCTGCCCATTCATTGAGACAACCTTCACGTATACCTCCTGATCTCTTTTCACAAACTCTTTGGCATTCGCAACCCTCCGAGTTGCCATCTGGGAAACATGAACTAATCCTTCCTTTCCTCTACACTCATCCAGCTGCACAAAACAGCCTGTGTCCATTACTCTGGTTACTCTGCCCTTATACACACTGTACAGTTCAGGTTCATCTGATCTGTGGTGAATCACTTTCCTTCTATCATCTTCCCCCCTACCTCTTTCATCATAATCTTCTTCTTCATGATAATCTCTCCTCTTTCTCCCGTCATGCCTGTCCCTGTCGTGACTTTTCTGTTCAGCATCTCTGCCCCTTTCTCTTCGATCTCCCCTGTCCCTCTCTCTTCTACCATCTCTATCCCTGTCTCTTTTATCGTCCATATCCCTGTTTCTTTTATCGTCCCTATCCCTATCTCTCCTCCTATCTCGTCTACTATCATCTCTATCCCGCCTGTATTTTTCATCATCTTTTCCCGGATTCTTCTTCGTTTCGAGCGCAATTTCCCTCTCCAGTTCCTTAATTCTTTCCTTATCATCCTTAATCTTCAGAGCAGAAAACTCGCCACTTTTATCGATCCCTTGGGCATCATCCTTGTCGGATCCAGGCTTAGGCAATGGAGGAAGAATGGCGTGGATTATAGTGAGAAGTGTCCGGACGAAGTAATCCGGCATCTCGGCACCGCTCTCCTTCAATTTCCGGTCGAACTCCTCAACGGTTTCGCAGGTCCTGCCCATCTCCGTGATGAACTCCGCAAGAACTTTGTCCCCGACACCTATGTTCGTTTCAAGCTCCGAACATACCTTCGAAACCAGAGAAAGATACTCAAGTTTCTTCAGTCCGCTTTCGACGATATCCGCCCCCATATTACGGCACTGCCTGTATGCGGACCTTGATCGTGAAGAATGTTGATCGGCTTAGGGTTTAAAGTTGCAGCCACTGGGACTATGGAGAAGGGAAGGTAGAATTGGAGAAAAAATTAACCGGGCAGAATCGGAAAAGGACTTGATTATTATGGTTCATAAAGAAGACCTAATTTAATTATAACCATCACACCTTTCAACATTTAACAATGTTATCCCTAATTCTATACGGAGTACCAGGTTAGTTTCCTATTTCTCTAACTAGTTATTCGTGTAAGATAATGTCCAATATTAAGTACGGTCATTAGTCCTAAATGAGATTAAAAAACTTAAAATTTTTTAAAAAGTAAAATAAAATACCTAAAAAAATATGTAGGCCACTACTTCGGCATCATCCACCTCCCAAAATCATCGACTTTGATCGCCGAAAAAATATTATATTGTATTAAAAATGTCATATTCCTATCAAAAATGCCATGAAGATGACATTTCTACTTTTTGAAAATATCCAACATTTTTTCAACATTGCCATCGTGATGACATTATTTTTCAACTTGGCATTCTTTTCCGTAGATCAGATGTGGCGGTGTTGGAATGTGGCTGAGGCGGTGGTTGAGGTATGTTTACTCTTTATTTATTTTTACGTTATTTACTTTTAATTTTTATTTTTTAATGTTTTATTATTTATCAATGAAGAAATTCTATGACAATGGAAAGGTTAGAATAGAAAAAGTTAGTCCTGTTTTAGGAATTTAAACATTAAACTCATATTGTTGCAATTTTGCTTTTATTCAGTCCTATGTATGGAAATCTCTCTATTAAGTAATGTGTACTCCACCGCAATGGAGTTTTTTTTTGAAGTGCCACCGCAATAGAGTTGAGAATTCAACTCTATGAAAAGACTCCATAAATGTGTATTAAGTCAATCTGCACTTTGTTAGATAGAGTTGTAAATCAAAAGGTAAAACCAATAAAAAATGTGCGGTGATGGTAATGTCCACATAACATATATGTCTCCATACAAGAGTCATATATGGCTCTTTAAAATTTTTGAGTAAAATTTACTCATGTTGGACAAAAATCTCATCAAACAATGTGAACCTGGAAATGGGAGTACCTCAATCCACAATTCCACACTAAACATTACTTCAGGATATTATATTTTGGTTTACCACTCTATCTAACAAAGTACATATTGACTTTTAAAAGTGAATATAGAAATATTTAAAATGTATTAAACATAATAAATATTTTAAAATTTAAATATAAAATTGAGTCAAAATCGCCTAGCATTGAATGAAAAGAGCATACATACAAGTGCAAATGCCAGATAATGTCATTGAGCACTGAAAATCCTTAACAAATGCAAGTATGTTGCAAAAACTTTTTTTAACTGCTTGGTCATTAATATTCGATTTATGCATTTTTGCAAGTGGCTCCACTCACTTATACCAATTTACTACCTCTAGTGTTGAAAAATGTAATGATACCAACATGAAGTATGAGAACAGTCCATTTTCCTATTTTTTGAGTAACTGAGTAACATAAATAATATTCCGATCAATTTATCTCTTTTTGCATTGTACCGCACTATCAACCTATCACTCATTAGCTCGCCCTCGATTAGTTGTTGTTTTGCTGATTTTCTCCACACCCTCCACTCCGACAGGTTGCAGGTTCTTCTAATTTTCTCAACTATAAATTAAATTGCATTTGTTAAATTTTTATATTTGATACTTTACATAAAATTCAGGATTATTTCTCAATTATATTTGTAATTTGACTTATTCAAGTGATTAAGTTTTTAATACTTTACATTAATTTCATAATTTCAATTATGGGTGACAAAAAGATTGCTTCATATTTCAAGAAACATTTAATAAGTAAAGACCCGCCAAATTTATTGCTTAAAGATTGTAATGATGAA